TTGCCTCCCGATCCTTCTCGCAAGCGGTTTAAGGTTTGGGGCTGTGGGTGTTTCGGGTTTACGGCTCAGTTTTCGGGGCCTTACACTGCTTTGTGTTGTACAGGTTCAGGGTTGAGGACTGTGGGAAGTACGAGTAGCTTGTCCAGGGCTTGACGCACTTGAAGGACTTGTAAACCCCTAATCCCTGAGCTTTGCAGGGCTGGTGACTCCTCCAAGCATGAGGTTCAGGGTTAAAGGTGTAGGGATTTAGGAGCAGAGCCAGCAGTGACTGTCATTTTCGTTGTTGTGCACATCTCTATATGATTTCTCTGTATCTATGTTGGTTCTAGCTGTTCTTTCTTGAACTTATTTCTCTCTTTCCTTCTCACAGTATCTGTCGTTCTTTCTCTGCGCATATGGATAATAGACTAAGAGGTACAAGCACGCAGAAATGCGCATAAGAGTATATACGTAGACAAAAATACATGGTCACCACGCCTCCATGATCCACGCCGCCCTTCGTGCATGCGCCGCTACTTGCAGGGTGGTTGTTGGGGGCTGGGGCGTGAGCATTATGTATATGTATATATACATTTATGTATATATATATATATATATATACATATATGTATATATAGATGTACACAGACATATGTATGTGCATCACACCTACGTAAGTGTGTCATGTATATATGTGTGTATGCAAGTATGCATGCATGCCTGCATGCAAGTATGCATGCATTTATGGGTGCGTATGTGCGCATGCTAAAATATACGCATGTAGTCAAGTACACATACTGGATGGATGCATGTATGCATGTGGCCTGCACAGACGACTTGTCTGTACATTCACTTGCATTAACTGCAAGTGCAAACACACAGAGACATAGAGGTGTGCACACATTGCTCTGGTTGTGTGTATACAAACTCTAAAATGTGTATGAAAAACTGTGTATATATATATATATACATACAGATTAATGTCTGCCTCTCCCCGCTCTCTCCCTCTCTTTCTCTCCTTTGCCCTTTGGTGTGCGGCCTTTGCCACCCCATGCACAGCGAGCGCCACCGTACCTGCGTATCGTCGAACATATCAACATCAAATAGTCATGTTAAACTTTTAAACCTGAAGCTTCGGAGTTGAGGTTCAAGGCTTCCAGAAGAATGCAAAACGCATCAAAACGCTACCCAAGTCTGAGCCAAGGTACATGGCGCTCTGAGATGGCACGGCGCAGCGGGTACTTTGACCCTAACGCTGCTAACGCTGGAGCTGCAAGCAAAGGACGGAACTCATTGTGACGATCATGTATGTCGGGCTGCCAATTGCCACGGGCGTCGGAGGGCTTTGTATATCAAGCGCTCTCATATTCAGGCCTGTAGGGCTCGCCGTTTGGTTTAGGGACTTGAGGGGTTAGTTTGGGCGTCGGCATAAGGGCCACATGCGTGGTGCTTGCCTGGCAGGCGCTTTACAGAAAACGGCAACAAGACAGCTCAACTCGTGCATGCCTGCTAGAAAGGACAAAGGAGCAGATTCAGGTGATGCTTGGGTGCTTGTGCGAAGATCCTAAACTTTTACACTAAACGTAACATAGGTATTCCTAACAAAAAATACTACAATCTAGTTTCTAGATCTGGCTGAAGAGCGCAAGCATGTCCGGAGATTACTTCAGATACGAGTACAGTCCGGATTCCGGATCAAAATTTCCATGTTGGACACGAAGCCCCTCCTGCGCATAGGTCCTGGATGATGATGAGCGCAAGAACCACACTCGGAAATCGAATCGAAGAGTGTATAGGGCCGCAGTCTACGGCTTGGGATCAGACCTTCAGGGCCTCTGGCTTTCCCTCGTCGTTATCCGATCTTTTTCCGGCGTAGGCCAAGCCTTCGGGCGTTTGCCACCCTCAAAGCGGTATCAGGGTATCCTAAGCCCTAATGCGTGGGAGCTTAGAAGCCCATGCCTCCTTCGTCCATGGGTGCAGCGAAGGGCCCCCGGCTGAGGCGTTTTTTGCCACATAAACCCTACCAGCTTCCAAGAAAGCTTATCGTATAACGAGGCTTTGAGAAGCCTCTCACTTTCGGGCTTACTGAGTTGAGGGTTTGTAGGCTTGAATCCTCTGCCGGAGTCCTTCAGACACTAGACACGCGCGATCACACGAGGTGTCAGATCTCGAACGAGATGCGACGCACATGCACCAATCTGAGTCTGTCACACAGGGAAACATACCAAGCACTGATTCAGGAATAGTGGGGTGTGGGACTATCAAAGAACGGCAGTGGGCCTTTCAAGTTTGTTCTTGACCTACATAAGGCAAATCAAGAAACCACTCAAGCGTGTGCAATGTGTGAGCCCGGGATTTGCGCACTTCCTTTCTCCCTGTATACGATATACACACCCAATATGCACATTACTGGAGCACAGTATGCCGCACATACCGACATGCAGAAGAAATGCACGTGATTTTGGTCGAACTTGTAACCTTCAACCAACAAGCGCAAGCAGAAACGAACCCAAATCCGCGCAACCCAAGACTTCAATCCACAACACCATTATGCAACTGTGGCAAGGCAATGGCGATACAAGAAAGCTGCAACATCACCCATTCCAATCTGCAAAAGCCTACATCGTGTAAACCCCAACCAGACTTGCAGAAACCCAAAGCCCTGCCTTAACCCCAAACCATTCAAAAGGGAAACAAGTCTCCACAGCCCCCTCCGAATTCTTTTCTGCTCTGAGGCTCCAGACACAGGCACGACTTGCGGGACAGCGCGCGCCTGAGTTGAACTTGGGGTGTCGGGGTTCAGAGGTTTGGGCTTCTATGAAGAGTTCCATAAGGGGTTGTATTGGAGTTTGGGGTTTAGTGGTCTGTTAATGTTCCTGCCCGAATAATAGGGGGACCCCCCCCCACCAAAAATTTTGGTCCGAATAATCTGGGTGTGTACCTTGGACTCTGCGAAATTGCAAAGGGATGCCTTTGCGGCTTGGGGCTTCGGGAAAATGGGTTTATATATGGGGTTCAGGATTTCGGGTGCTAGTAGCGTGTTTCAAGGTGTTTAGGGTTTAGGGTGCTAGCAGCGTGTTTCCAGGTGTTTAGGATTTATAGAGTTTAGGGCTTTAGGGTTTCGGGTGTGTAGGGCTTAACTCATGCCGTTACGGCTAGCAGGGTTCAGGATTTAGGGCTCAGGGTTTACGCGTGGGTTCTTTAGGCTCGAAAACCTTCAGCTAAGAAAATGTTGTTTACACATCAGTGATGAGCGCGCAGCCCGTTATGTTCAAATTAGCTACCAAATATTGGCTAAGGAGTTTCGGGTTCATGCACGCAGGGTGCAGGATTTGGTGTTTGGCTGGCTAGAAGCTTGAGGCTAAAGCAACAAGCAAACGCATTTCCCTAAAGCACACGAATTGGAGATTCCTGAAAAACATCGTCGAACAAAGCAAGCAACTCCAAACAAAGTACCCAACAGCCTCGAGATCAAGGTTTCCGTGTCAGGATGGTTCTGAACCCCCTTCCTGCATTGTACTTCCCGGGACCCAAAAACAATTCATGAATAGGTACCTCTACAGGCCCATAAGGCTAGTTGAATCAGTCTCCCAAAGGCCCCCCCAAGTTTTTCGTCAAGGACTTTAGGTTTTAGGAGTTCAGGTTGACACTTGTGGATCGCGTTGGATCGACTGATTTTCTGTAAACCCTAAACCCTAGACCACTACAGACTAAATTCCTGCACCCTCATCTATACCCGAAACACCCCTAGAAGCCCTTCATTGCTGCTCCCTATGTCAGGCCCAGCTATGCACTTCGAGGAGCTGAACACATGGTGGTCACCGGCAGCGCAATGTAGCTCGGGCCTTCGAGAATTCGTCGATATACTCGCCACTACTCGCCACATGTGTTTCTTCTTGGCCTACATCCTAGACCACTTCTGCAGGTGAACGAATTCGAAGATTCCGCCCACGATGTTCTTGAAAGAGACCACCCAATCACCGGCAGATATCTGAGGCAAGGGCGTGCTGCAACTACGCGCGGCGCATGGACAAAGTGCTGCGCGGCAAAGCACGGACGGTTCAACGCCGCCGGTCTTCCTGAGACGGCCACTGAACGGCTGACAAATGCTGTTCACGTTCTTTGCAGAATGACCAACATGTCTCCGTCTTTGCACCAACATGATTCGTACCGAGGGGCGGCAATTCAACACCGTCCCAGGTTTGCCTGAAAGCTCGTGAAATGCCCTGTTTCGGCCGACTGCGTTGGCAACTCTGCAGATGCACCTCCGGTCAGCATCGCCGCTGCCGGGTGCAAAGGAGGTGGTCGGCCCGGGCTGAATGCCTGCGCCCACATCAGGCGACGAGAGTTGCTAATGATGATTGCCGGCGGCGACCTGTGCAAGCTGTCCCCAAACCTATCCCGCCCTCGCTGCAACTCTCTGCGATGCGCCTGGTTGAATCCGATTGGGCACCATGCTAACCCCGTTCGCTGGGAAACGGCCACTGCCGGTCTTCCTTGGAGGGGCCACTGAACGGCTGACAAATGCTGTTCACGTTCTTTGCAGAATGACCAACATGTCTCCGGCTTTGCAGCAACATGATTCGTACCGAGGGGCGGCAATTCAACACCGTCCCAGGTTTGCCTGAAAGCTCGTGAAATGCTCTGTTTCGGCCGACTGCGTTGGCAACTCTGCAGATGCACCTCTCGTCAGCATCGCCGCTGCCGGGTGCAAAGGAGGTGGTCGGCGCGGGCTGAATGCCTGCGCCCACATCAGGCGACGAGAGTTGCTAATGATGATTGCCGGCGGCGACCTGTGAAAGCTGTCCCCAAACCTATCCCGCCCTCGCTGCAACTCTCTGCGATGCGCCTGGTTGAATCCGATTGGGCACCAAGCTAACCCCGTTCGCTGGGAAACGGCCACTGCCGGTCTTCCTTGGAGGGGCCACTGAACGGCTGAGAAATGCTGTTCACGTTCTTTGCAGAATGACCAACATGTTTCCGGCTTTGCAGCAACATGATTTGTACCGAGAGGAGACAATTCAACACCGTCCCAGGTTTGCCTGAAAGCTCGTGAAATGCCCTGTTTCGGCCGACTGCGTTGGCAACTCTGCAGATGCACCTCCCGTCAGCATCGCCACTGCCGGGTGCAAAGGAGGTGGTTGGCCGGGCTGAATGCCTGCGCCCACATCAGACGACAAGAGTTGCTACTGATTGCCGGAGGCGACCGTTGCAAGCTGTCCTCAAACCTACCTGCACTGGCTGCAACTCTGTGCGATGCACCTGGTTGCATCGGGTTGCTCACCATACTGACCCCGTGAGCTGGGAAAGGGCTGCTGCCGGTCTTCCTGAGAGGGCCGCTGAACGGCTAACACAGGCTCTTCATGTTCTTTCCAGAATGATCAACGGCATTGTACAGTAGCCAGATGATTCGTTCCGAGGGGCGGCAATTCAAAACCGCCGCTGGCTTGCCTGCAAGCTCATGGAATGCACTTTTTCGGCCGACTGCGTTGGCAAGGGACCGAAAGGGGTCACGCATTGCGAGGCGTTGTTCGGTACAGGACGTATTCACGATGCCGATGTTGAAAGCTTACTTTTCAAGGCGGCTCTACCCCTCAGCCCTAAGCTGTCAAATCCTCAACCGTCAACCATGAGCCCGAAAGCCTGCGGCGGAAAACTCGTTAAGCCCCTATCCGACAGCCTGGAAGATCCTGTGCGCCGGCAAGCTCCGAAAATGCAAACAAAGCGGCGTTCCCACGGGCAGCTGCGGATGTGCTTCTGGCACAGGAATGTTGGTCGGCCTCGGACCGGGCATCTGCTCATTCATGAGGGTAACTACAGGTTTTGCACCGGCTCCAGAAGATGAGGCTTTAGGGTTGTCCAGGAGGTACCTAAATTTGAATGGTTCAAAGTGTCTGTACGACAAGGCTTCGCTGGATGCAGCAACCTGCTGGACACAACATCGGCTGCACCGAGTCTCAGGGTGTGACGGCTCCTGTGGCATGTGCTCCTCAGGCAGCTGGACGGAAGCGAAGGCAACAGCCAGATGCTTGTTAGATCTGGCAATAACAACAACAACCGCGCAAGCTTACTTGCGTTTTCAAGGATGCCCTTGGCAGGCTCTGTCACTCAAAGCCTGGCAAAGATTGAACATCACGAGACGATAGCCCAGAATCGAGCATGCGGACTAGAACAAGCCTGGAAACAACAGATTGCAATCAGAGAAGAAGGCAATTTGGAAGAGCCAGCTGTAGCCTCCAAGATCTTCCCTAAGACAATCCTCACGTCATTAAACGCCGAGATGGAGGTGCCGCAGTAACGCAGCATTCGGACATCCCTGCGTCGACGTGCCCGAACCAGACAGTCCCGCGCAAAAGGCGTTACGCAAGCAAGCCACAGTCGCGACTACAGCTTGTCTGTTCAATTCAAAGACCATCGTGAGGTCTTATATACACACTAAACAAGTCTGGGCAGACCTGCCTTGATACCTTCCATTCTCCGTTGTAGACTTCAAAAGCAAGAAGACCCGCCGCAGGAGTGCATTGGGTCTGGATCCCGTCCCGCAAGAACTCTTCAAACCACGTGCGCTCCAAGCACACGGCCGGAGTGGATGGAGGCAGCGAGGATTTCAGCTGTTGAATGCGGGTCACAACCTGGCATGGCTCTTGAAAGCTTGGGGGTCGCGGTTTGCATGTGGGCGTTGCGCTTCGGGCAGTGTTAGCTCTGCCGGGAACAAGACACAGAATGTGAAGGTTTTGCTTCTTTCCTGAACACTTCCGGCATTGACAGGGAACATGCTGCATCGGGTTGACCTCACGCATACACATCTTTTCTGGTATCGTCAGGGGGCACTCAAAATACGTCTGCGTTTCGTTTGGACTCCTGGGACAGCCTCGGCTCTGCTCACAGATTTATCGGACCAGCTGTTTGGTGCATGCAGATGCTCATTCAGTGAAAACTTGCGAAGTCCGCTTGCCTCCAATGCTTTCGGCCGACTGGATCAGATCGGCACGCTCGGTATCCATGCTCTTCCAAAACATGTGGCAACACATGGTGACACAATGGGATTCTTGCATTCAGCCTACAGGGAGTAAGACAGCGCTGGCTTCCGCAGAGAGGTTACTCAAGTCTTGGCAGCGCCTCCGAAAGGCGGTGACGGAGCCTTCGCTTCTCCTGTGGTCGGCATGCGTGCGTTGCACGCGACACGACACTCTGGCCCAAACAGGACGAACAAAAAGGAAGGAACTCGACACTGATTTTCGGCTTCTAGCTCATGCCATTCCGGCTTCGCTCGGCCATGCCGTGATGCGAGTCCTTGCGAGGCAACGCTGATACCAACGCCAAAAGGATGTATCGCCGACCTCAATGGGTTTGAAGGTTTCGCGAGCTTGCTTCAATGACATCGTTGCGAGTCGTGGGCTCGTGATTGGCTTTGTGGTGCCTACTCGGTCGAATGTAGTCTACCGTAAACATATTGCGCCTTGCAGCAGGACATAGGGACGGAGATTTGTTTGTTTAGGAGGGACTTTATTCTTCTAAAGAGTGGATTTTGTATAAACTGTCACGTTTGCGAAGCTGCAGGCGTGCCATGTGCTGGCGCTGTATGGGCTATCCATAAGTGGCGTTCCGCTCTTATGGCCGGTGGGCTGTGCTCGCGCTGTAGCGCGTCTTCACGGCTTATGGCTGTTCTCAGAGGGCTTTGCATCTCGGGCAAGACTCGTCGAACTTCCCTCCGTTGAGCGTTTCAGTGAGTGAGTGGGCCTTTATTCTTACCACTCGGCAGCTTAGGGAGGTTCGGCTGGGGCACTGGCAGATGTCGTAAAACTTGAGCGCAGTGTCGACGTCCTGGTCGTCTACGAAACAGCATCTGCGCATGGCATGCCTTTCCCCAGAGGTCATCCTGACCCTGTCTCCAACGGACCAAACTGAAACTTCACCGCAAAAACTCGACACAAAAGGGAAAACCTTCCGAGATCCCCGCACTTTTGCGATCAAATTTGATTGCCTGCTTGGCGGCCATACGGAGTCCTGGGCTTTGTTGGAGTTCGTTTTGGATCCTGCTCCACTTCGTGATGCATCTGACGATTTACTGTCTCTGGGGTCTCGGGACTTGGTTTAGGGGTTCAATCATTTCTACCAAGCGGCGCGCAACCAACGTCCGAGCTTGTGTGAACTCTGTCGGGATCTGCGACACAGCCGGGCTCTGACTCACGTACATGCATGTATAAGGCGTATGCATAAAAAACTCTCACACAACAGCCGCTGATATATATGTATATATATATATGCATGTATATATATACACACATATTTATATGCATATTATGTATATTACCCGCTCCCTCCCAAATTGGCCCAAAGTTTCGTTTTAGTCCAAGAGAAAGTCTATGACTTTCTCATCCTTGGTCAAGAAACCAGCCACATGCCAACTGCCCAGCACTTACCTAGGTCTCTTTAGGAACGTGTTCATTCGGAAGTAGCACTGGCTTACGAACGGGCATGATGCCTGCAAAAAACAAGTCCAGTAATGTTGGTGAGATGGCAGAAAGATTCATTTTTTGAGTTTTGAACGTTGATGTTTGCAGTAAGTGGCTGATGTTTCCCGCGCTCTGGCATGCGGGAGGGTTGCATGAGGTCAGTCGATCTAGCACAAATCACGAGGGAGTTCAAACTTGTGCAGTTGTGTCCAAGATGTCAAGGCTGTGAAGACAGAATTCAAAGGTATGGTTTTCAAGAGCTGGTGCTTCTAGGCGATGCGGGGTGTTGTTTGTATATACCAGTAGCTACCCCCAACGGAAAATCGTGCTCGCGATACTTGTGTTTACGCTTGTACCAGAACAATTTTCAGGTAGTATCGACTTCTTACCAGGGGAGTATTCAATGGGACCTTGAACTAGTTATACATTGCTCAAATATACCATTCTCACTTAATCATAAGCATTCGACATATTCAATCATTTCGCACAAGCTTTATGTAGTGAACCACAATGCCAAATGTATACTGAGCATTCATTTACTGTGGGGTGTCACGCTTGCTTACTTAATTTGTCCTCGGTATTTCTCTAACGCTCTAATTGATCAACACCAGCGTACAGACTGTTTCAAGAATACATGCTTGCTATGATGAGCCAGTCCAAGTTCATGTACTGTATCCTCTAACAGATACGTCAACGCTCCGACGCACAATGACTGATTCTTCGAAGAACCAGCTACATTGAGAAGGAGAAGGTGGGAAATGCCGAAATCCGCCGGAAGCATGTCATGATGCATACAGAATGTCAATAACAAGTCTATGCAATCGCTTCAATATGATTAAGCAGCTATACATCAGAAATGAGTGGGTTAAGTACCGTTAAATTAAGTTCAGCTACGAGTTTATCATCATGAAACTCACCCATATCACGAATGTGGGACTGAACTTTGACTAAACATGCGGTCCAAAAGCATCGAGTTAGATTCTAGCAGCAGTCAAAATCTCAAGCGTACACTCGTGAAATACAAGCCAAACATCGTGTGAACATGAGGCAAGAAACAAATGCTACGCACAAACTAGCAAACTCAACAGTGCTTCATGTTAGGCAAAATCGTTATTACACACAATGACATAATCCATCATTGAACCTCAACGGGCATGAAGATTTCCATAGGAATTATGTAATTTAATACTAACCTGTGATACGAGTTTGCTGGGTAGATGGGATGCAAACTGCCAGATACACATTCGATTCCAGTGCAAAGCAAAACACAGTGCACGAACCCTGCTTCAGCATCGAGACAACATCCGGGCCACTTGTTAGCGGGTTATGCACCCCTACCGTGCCCGACAGAACCACTGGAGTTATACTCAACGGCACGGGAAGGCTTGATGTGCACTGTCTGCGAGCCTCCGGCGCCGGTCTTGGCGAGACGGGCACCAAGATGGGCCTTAAGGAAAGCAAGTTAGCCCTGACTGATGGGACCTGTACGGCAGGGCACTAAGTCGGCAGGTTGAGGGTTCGCGGACGGATCCACGGCAGAAAGTTAACTTCAAATCACTACTCAGGGCCAAGCATTTCAGTGTCGGTGTCCGGCTCCTAAAACACGACCGAGGAGGCCGGATTCTTCGGGTTCATGGGCAGTTAGCAAGGTGTAGACCCCACCCTCAGCAACCTCCCGACCCGGCCAAGCCACCCCTGCCCCCGGCGGGACACGCAGCGGTGTACGATTATTCTTATTATTGTTATTATGATTATTAAGTGCCGCGACTGACAGCCCACACGGGCCATCGTCCGGCTAAGCTCCAGGCCACCACTGGCTGAGCATTACGCCTGCACTTCGCGCAACAGACTCCGACAATGAAAGTGCAGAGCATGTTCGACATGCGAGGTGGGCAAGACGCATCCACACACAGCAAGAGGCGCTGCAGGGAGATTATGCGATTGCTCCTAATCTTCACACCGGAGCCCTCATGCGGCCTCAATCAAGTAAACTCAGAAAACGGAGAAATGAAGCACAGACCGGCAAGATCAGTCCAAACAAGTATAGCCCGTGTAGCCATGGACCCGTTGAGCGTGCCTGCGCCATGGACGTTGAACCTGCGAGCGATGCGGCCTAGAAACCATGATTTGGAGTGGTGTCCCACCAAGGGGAGCAGTTTCGAGCTACCTGGCTACCTTCGGCACTTTCTTTCGCATAGTGAGCGACAACTTGGTGTAACGTTCGGATCGACGAGCAGCCTCCACGAATGCTGACATACGGCACATGTTATTGCGGCTCTGAACTCGTTGAGCCCCCCCCAACCTCAACGTGCCCTGTCAGCCGCGTGCATTCGAAACCACGCCGACTTGTAGACTAACGACCTTGAAACTGCTAGCTACCTCTGTGATGTGACAGTGCTAACTGTAGGAGCTGGGATTGCGCCTGGCCTCGCTGAAAGGACCAAAGCAGTGCGCACAAGAAGCACGGCTGTGCCTTATATTCGTACCAAGTGAGTCTAAGGTTCTTGAACCTGGATTCTGTGCTCACAGCAAACACCGACAAGTGTCAAGATCGAGAAGCATGACGGGGCATGTCAAGAACCCTGGTTTCGCTCACGAGCCAGAATGCTTGCAAGAGTGCCCTCACGCTGCTGGGGCAATACAAGAACGAAGAGGCATCAGAAAAAAAGTCCGAATAGACCGATCTTGACCAGTCAGAGGCTGCTTGAATTTTGCATGTCTCAGGAATGCCTGATACCAATGACCCGGGGCGCACCCCCTGAAGCACTTGCTCTCGTGTGCTGCCGTTTGCTGGCTTGTCTGCACTTGAATGTAAAACACGACGGAGTAACCGCAACAAAAACAAGTAGCAGCGACATGAGCCAGGTAAGACCAACTTGCAACACACAACAAAACTAAAGGACAAGTGGCATCTGTTGCAATGTTTCCCCTGAGATTCTCAATCCATCATCAGCACCATCATCACCATCAGCAACATCATCATTATCATCATCGTCATGCGTTGAATGCCGCTTACAACCATTGCTGAAGTGGACATCCGGATTCTGTGTGCATCCAAGCTTTTTCCAGGGCACCGGAAGGGTCTGCAGCTGCACTCGGGTCTGTGAGACAACTGTGCGGCTCGTAACTAGGCCTTCGCCCTCCTTGCGCCGCCAGGAGAACAACTAGGTAGTGTCGCAACAAGGTTGTTACTGCAGCAACGCAAGTCATCATGACATGGCGATGATGATTGGAAAATGCAATTGTCCAACCACACTTGGCTGCTACTACAGCATCACGTCAGTGCTCAAGGAGAGCCTCCCCAAAAGGCGGATTCGGAATAAGGAGCTTGCGATGCATGCTTCTGTGATATTTTGAGCTGCGCTTGTAGTGCTCCACTCGGCCTATGCTTGACGCTTTGATGGCCAGGGTGAACACTTGACTTTCACCCTGCTGATAAGCTGACGTCAGAAATCATGCGGCCAATGCCACACCCGAAAAAACATTTAAAACAACGACCCGATGAGCGTAATATGTGAGCCACTGTGTTCAATTAAGGCTTAGGCTATATGCGGTATCTCGAAGCCGTGCCCCTATCTCGTTTCATCATGTCAAGTACTGGCAGAAATTCTCGATCTCGTTCGAGTATCGTTGGTAGCAGGGGCTAGACGAGCTGTAATACAAGTAGAGTACAGCAATAGTAAAAAACAACCATATGAGCGCGCGACCGAGTAGCAGTAATAAAAGTATCAGTAGTGGTAACAGCAACATTTATCATAGCCTGGGTCCTGGTCGTAGTCCTAGTCGCGGTCGTCGTCGTTGTAGCAGTAGTAGTAACAGTAGCAGTAGCAGTAACAGTAGCAGTAGTAGTAGTAGTAGTAGTAGTAGTAGTAGTAGTAGTAGTAGTAGTAGTAGTAGTAGTACTAATACTAGTAGTAGTAGTAGTAGTAGTAGTAGTAGTAGTAGTAGTAGTAGTAGTAGTAGTAGTAGCAGTAATCGCAGTAGTAGGTTAGTAGTGATGAATGGGCCATGTGCTTATATGGCCGACTCCGTTAATATTTTGGATCTCGTTTCCTATCTCGTTTCGATCCGACTTTTTCACACCCAAAACGGCAGTGACTCTACATCGTGCTGTGGGAAACAGTTGCCTATGTCGAACTACAAGCACTCCCTCCCAATGAAGTGTCTATGACAGAACAACAAACCGAAGCCACTTCGAACTCCAAACATGTATGTCAACACACAAGAGTACCAGCAGTCCCGCTGAAAGCAGCGTCTATCGATTTCAGATAAGACTGCATCATATTATGTATGTACCTGACTCGTTTGAGCCGGTTTCCCTATCTCATTCCCCTCTTAGAGCGACTTCGGACAAAAAATAGCACGCGGAGCTATCTCGTTTCAAAAGAGCACAGTATTGACAAAAACAAAAGTCGTCGCTCATGTACTATTTGCACGGCGCGTCTTGTTTGTAGCTACATGCATCAGGTTCTCTGGAAGGGAATTCCGAAGAAGTGCGCATCCCTAAGCAAACACTGCATCTGGTCACAGCCGGGTGTTCAGTCGTTCTTGAACACCCACCCCCGTGCGCGGCCAGAAAGCGCAACATCTTCTTTTGCCTGGGCCAGCAAATGCGAGGACTTATGAGCATGGCCATGACGGTGAAGATAGGACCAGTGATCATGGTGACGAAGCAGGCGATAGTAAACTGAATAGCCGGTGCGATGCTGACTGCAGCCCAGTGGACTAGTTGAAACAGCACAGCGACAACCAACAACCCCTACAGTTCTCATACTTCAAATAGCGTCAGCACCTGCATGGCAGGACAAATGCAAAGCCAACATGCGTGTAACGACGGAGACACCATCACCAGCAACAGCAGCAGTGGCGGCACCGGCAGCGCAACACTCGCCAGGCCACCGCCAACAACAAACAAGCGATGCACTAGCAGCATTGCAAACTCAAGTACAACGACATAACTGTTGATGGAAACTGTTTCAACCGTAGCATCAACATCAACAGACATGCCGACTGCAGCAACTCAGATACGCCCTAAGCAGCACGTAGGCGGCCAGGACGTGGACATGCAGATGGTAGACGGACTCAGGCAAGAATCTTGAGTTTTTCTAGAGGGAAGTGGGGTGTAGCGGGTAGCGTTCATTGGGAAAACCGGTAGGTTGGGGTTCTCAGGCTTTAGGGCTTTAGGGTTGAGGTTGCGCCCAATGTTTGCCGTCGTTGATCACCACGCGGTAATCTGTTTTGGATGCTGTACATGTGAAGCTCTGGGACTCATCTACGCCCATCTCTCCAAGCGGACCACGGTAAACTTGACATGGTCTCAGCAATAGTCAGAACAGTAGTGGAAGCGATGTGATGATAACACCCAAACCCTCAACAACAGACCCTATTCTCCGAATCATTATGGTAGGGATGTTGCACCAGCCTGCGACAACACCCTAAACCTTAAAGGCTGGGCTGCTAACTCCCTGAAGCATGAGCCCGAAAGCCTTCGGCCCCAGCCCTTCGATCATCAATCGTATACTAAGTGCTAAACCCGCTGGAGGTGCCCACAGAATCTGACTGGGGATGTGGGATTGTCCAAGGGTGGTTGAAATTTCGTTACCAATACTACAGGCCTTGCGAACCGAATTCATGCCGACACGGAAATCAGTCTGGCTTAGTTTATGCCATGGCCAAACAATTGTCATGCGTATCGCAAACGCATTATTCTTACCAACAGTAGATCCGCACACGACTAAACGCACTAGCCATGCTACGTATACTCACAGTCGCAGCCGCGAAGCTTGCCTTGATAACAAGATGAACGGTAACCATCATCACAACCCTGCCAGCATCCGCCAGCGCCAGATTTTGTAGCTTCGGGTTCAAGCGGAAACTCCAAAACCCCAAACCCCCCAAGACCCTAAGCTCGCCTTCTGGGCATTCCTCCCTGCCCACTCGGCTTGCCAGAAAGAGCAAGTGCCCAAGGAGAGCCTCGCCAAAGAGTGGATGGGGTTTCGGGGTCCGGGAAGGAACATCAAATAACAATAATACTAACTAGTAATACTAATACTTGATAGCAATGAGCAGAGTAACGCTGACAATAACATAACCATAGCCAAAACCTTAAATCTCTTAAATCTCGATGATAACCATGTTGAGAATAATGGTACTAGAATATTCCGAGGCTACAGATACGAACAATCATAACACTAATCGTAACAATAAGACCAGGGAAATATAACAATAATGATAAGACTACTAGTAGCTCTGAGAGGAAGGCTTCTGTGATGGTTCAAGCTCCGATCTGAGGTTGTAGTGTCCCTTCGCCAAGCTACTGGATCCCTCGCCTTAACCCCACTGAATCTGGGGTTTAAACCTTCGTGGCCAGTTCAGTACCCCATAAACGGTAAGAGCGCCAAGCCCCTGAAGGACGACTCGCTCCCTTCTGCTGCTCTTCTTGCACAAGATGCGCGACACTTCTGTAGCCGGCGGTGGGTGATCTGAAGCAACGGCCAGGCCCTACATTTAAATGTTGCTGATCTATCGATGGCTGGCCCTTGTGCGAAGGCAGCCCGGATGGATTCTGATGACGTTCGGCGTTTCCGCGGAAAAAAATGCCTTTAGTAGGCTGTAGCATCAACAGCTTGCACGCCTGGACGCTTTACGCAGTACAACAATGCGAAATCCAGCCGTGTGGCTGCCGACAAGGCTTTTCACTTGTCAGATGCCGAATAGTCAAGTCGTGACGTGTGTAGTGGCTCCTTGCACTGGCAGCTTTATCCTGCGAAGTGTATGGACATGGAGCACATTGCGCTGCCGATGTTGCAGGCCCGACCACCACAAGCATGCAATGCTGCATCTCGTCACAGCCCGGTGTTCTTGAACACCCGCCCCTGAGCTGCGGCAAGACAGGAAACTGACCATCAAGAGTTGGCTCTTTGCTGGGCCAACAAATCTTAGGACTGTGCAACAAGTCGAGAGACGCAGCAAGGGATGAAAGCCCGCCAAACATGTGCGGCCATCGAAAGGGGAACTCATCGGGCCTAGGGGTCTTCCTGAAATGGATATGCGGAAGAACACTGCGAGTTTAGGGAATTTGTTTTTTGGTCGCTTACTGCTTCTACCATGCCAGTGTAAACGAAACCCTAAACCCACAACGCTGAAGCCGAAATGATCTAGAAAAACGATCGCACCATCGCCTGCTCCGCGTGCTGATGCATCAACCGGGACCGGGTAGCGACTGTCGGTACGTGGGCACCAGTCTCCTGTGGGTCCAGGATTTAGGGTTCTTGGATCTTGGCTTGCATCAGGCTCCCTGTCATGCACCACTCAGAAGCAGGCATCCTGATATCACAGCCCCCTGCCAGCCAAGGTTTGGATCGCAGCTGCAGTCCCACACAATCAAGTCATGTCCCAAGCTGTTGGTGGCCTTTAAGGCTTCGAGCTTTTGTCTAAGAGCTGTAGGATGTTAGAAAACCCTGCACCAAGTTTATGAACCCTGAATCCGAGAAGGACCGCCCTCGCCCAGTCCTGGCTCACGGGCACCGGCACCTCCGCTTGCCACTCGACTTGCTGGTGGATGGGTTCAGGGATGTTTGGGGTTTAGGGTTTGAGATGTATGTTGGGCTTGTCTCATCCCGCGGCATCCTACATGGACCATGCAAGCTCGCACAAAACAAAGCCCACGCAACGTTCACATGTCGGAGATTCCAGTGTTTATAAAGCAAAAACTCCTGTGTGGCTAGAAGAAGGCTGCTCCATGAATACGGACAACACGAAGGAGGACAGCGGAGACCATGGAGGCATGTCAAGCTCAGGGCCGGGCAACAGAGTCGGCAAGGCAGGCACCGGCTTCACAACTTCCATGGTCCCTATTTCGTTCCGGGCGGTTGTTCTGAACACAGTGTGCAGCACTTCCGAGCTCCGAATTTGTGTAGGGCCTGGGACTTGGTGGTTTTCTTGAACCGGATGGCGCTTTGCAGGACAGAGTTTGGAAATCAATCAAGCCACGGACCCGCAACAGCTGTATGGAAGTGAAGGTCACAGCAGCTCTACAACCATCTATAGGCCATCGAAACGCTCTGCGCTTGAATGTCCAAGCCCGGTTTAATGTCAACATCAGCCAACGTAAGTACACACTGGAAGCCATGCACGAAAACCACAGAACCGTTTGCACAGTGGCATCGTTTGCAAAGCTTGGCTTGAGATCCGGAAGCCAGCATCGCGTGGATGAGGATCACCAAAAACAGTGTTGTAACAGTATTGCGACAAACAGCTTCATTCCTGATAGCTCTTTTTCAAGCGCACCTGTCCAGTCTGCAGCTGCACTCGGTACCGTGAGACAACTTCGCCCACCTTGCGCGCACAGGAGAAGACTTGGTGCTGCCAAAAAGTCGCAAGCGCGGCTACAGAGCCAATGCAAAAACTGACAGCATAACGACAATGATAGGAACATGGGAATTACAGCAACAGATAACTGCTACTTGCCGTTGCAAGTTGCAAGCCTGTCACGTTGACCAGCAGGATGCTCCGGCGTAACAACGTCCGCACCATGTCAAACAAAATCAAGACAGGTACCAAAATGCAAAGTAGAACCCAATGACTGTCTCCGCGCCTCCCCTTCGCTCGTCGTGGATGTGGTCAACGTGCTCCGGGCATCGGCCGAGTGAGCGCCACAGGGCCCTCGGTGGTTTGAGATGGCCGTTGAGGGGCTTCTTATGTTGTCTGAAGCCTTACGTGGCCTTTCTGGATTCTTGGACTGCTGCATCATGCCGTAGCAAACCCTGGGTTGAAAGCTGCTTGCAGCGAACAGCGAAAGGGGAACAGAAGCCTCGGAGCTGAGCATCGGGGTTTATGGTTTAGGGGTCTGAGGTTTGGGGTTTGGGGGAAACAGACGGAGAAAGAGAAAGATAGAGGAATAGAGAGAGAGAGGGAGAAAGAGAGAAAGAGAGAGAGAGAGAGAGACAGACCGACGGACGGACGGATTCATGAATAGATGAACAAAGAGAGATGAGAGCAGCCTGCAGCCTGTCAAGTTCTGTCTTGAATCCGCCATGAGCAACCGGCAGACATAATTGCAGCCTGCAGCCTGCCAGGCCTTCTTAAAATCGCCTGTCTGCTTCACATCCAAGGTGCGGAAACATTGCGGACGCCCGGCAAAGATGAAACACAGGGCAAGGCGATTGGCAAGGCCACGGAGCCTTGTGGTGGCCGTTGCAGGGCGATGGCAAGGGCCAGGATCTGAGGGGCCATGGGCATGTAGCCTTGGGGCGGCAGCTGCCTTGGCATGGATCTTTGCGGTGGAAGGCGTGGGGCTAGGCGACCTTGTGGCGGCAAGCGCTGCGGGCACGGCTGGATGAACCCTTGTGGGGGTAGGCGTTGTGGAGTCCGTGGAGCTATGGAGGCTTGAGTCGTGATGGATCGTGGTGCCATCGAGACTTGTGGTGGCAGGCTTCGGCGTGCAATGGAACCGTGCGGTGGGGGCTGCGACAAGGTGCCTTGGGGGGCAAGCTTTGGGGCTCCATACGGCGGCTCCACGGAGCCGGTTGGCGGCAGCATCGCACCTGCACTCAGGAGCTGAATGCATCCAGACACTGCCCAAGACGACAAAAGCCGATGAAGCAATCCACACCAGGGCTTTCCCAGATCAAGCACCGGCCACGGCCTGATCCAGGCTGCCCGCATGCCTGCTTGACAAACTACTGTGGGAGGATCTCGCATCTAGCTGCACATGCTTTAGAAGGAGGAAGTGGCATGACGTGTTTGTAGCTTCGGGCTCGGCTGAGGGATTCTCATTTCTCGCTCACGGGTCGGCCATGTCACTGTCAGCAGGATTCCGGAGGCATCACAAAAACCGCTCTCCTCTCCCCAGACGTCAAGAGCTGTGTCAGCCATGCTCAAACAGAGCCAGGTCAAGCCTTGACACCAACTCCTCAATCCCACGAAAGGTCGAAACCTCCGACATCCTCCCTCGGTATGCTTAAGCAGGGCCAACCCGTGAACCTTCCATTGCCCAACCCTCAAGCCTCGAAGAAAGCTTCTTGAACTTCCGAACCCCAAAATCTCAAACCCGCGAAAACTCTGAAAGTCTAAACCAAACCGAAGCCTGAACTTTGCCAAACCCTATCCCTTCCTTCAACTGTAAATACAACCCCAAACACTGGAAAACCCTTCAACCCTAAAACCAAACTCCATGGCCTGCGAGGAGCTCGCGGAGCCCAACGGGGTTCCACCTTCCAATGGCTATTTCACGACTGCGAGCTGAAGCCGAAACTCGGCTTTCACACGACAGTGTGCTTCGGAGAAGGAGTGACAGAAGTAAACGCACCGTCCTGCAATGTCCTGCAACTGAACCATTCGGCGCCTTTCCCCACAGCAAGGGGCTCCAGCGCAGCTGCTTTACGAGCCTTGCAACATGTTTGTCACTGAAACACGTTGATTTGCTGATCTCCCTTCTTGTGACTGGCTCATTCTGCTGCACTCTTGCCTGTAAACTGCGATGCATCTTGCTGCAACGACTGGCACTTGCAACTCGTACCATGAGTGCTTGATGTTGCTACTACCTTCGCGGTGTTCTGGTTCGATTACTAGCACACTTAGACTTCTAGTAGCATTATGGTTTCTCTTGATATTTTTGTTGTGCATGTTATTTCATGTTATTGTCATGCTACCTTGTTTAAACTGGATTTCTGTCGCAAACCGGCTTCGCTCTGTCCAAACCGGTGCCGTTGTTGGGTTCATCCTGGCATGTGTGACAGCGATGTGTACAGGAGCCTGGGGCAACCCCAATTTTTTTTCACGCGATGACTTCCGTTAACCACCTCACACTTCCCAGTGGACGGCGTAACAAAACGGTGGTTTGGATCCGACGCCGGCCTCCCCTCAAGAATCCCATTTCAAGTTGAGTTGGGAGTTGGGAACCCTTCATCCTCCGCTGTTGAAGTTTAGGCATCCTGGGATGCCCAAACCGGAAGTGCGCTGGTGATTCTCTTGCAAGACTCAGACTTTAGGTTGTTGGGTACGCCACCCGCGTGCATTTCGCGCGTTATGGCTTGAGCGGTTTTCGAATCTGGGGGCTGGAAGGGTTTACATCACGGGCCCTGGAAACCCCGCGCGCGAGTTCACTCTGAGCCTCCCGCTTTCAAGCGCAGAAGCGCAGCAGTGGTCAGCGGGAATGCCTGGTCGGGCGTTTCGGTCAACTATTTCTTCACTTCTAAATACGATTGGCTTCATGGGAGGTTGGCAGCGGGATGCGACAATGAAATGGATTTCTCTCCCCCAAACTCCTCAAAACGTGAGTGTGAAGGACTGCTGGAAGAAGTGGCCGATGTACGATTATTATTAGCGTTATTCACCGTTATTCTTGATGCCGCGACTGACAGCCAACTCTGGCCATCGTCAGGCTAATGTCACACTGGCTAAGACTCGTGCCTGCTCTGCACGCATCAGACCCTATAACAAATGAACCGACAAAGCATGTCATGTCGCAAGGTGTAATTACAGACTGCGGTGCGGACTTAGGAAATTTGGCAGGCTTCAGCTCTTCAGGTGAGTCTGAAAGAACTGAATCCCCGTTGGGAGTGCTAGGTGTTCGCAGTATCATCCCAAGGGCTGCGCCACGATCGAAATGCGGAGTTGCTATGGCCCGTTTCTGGATAACATGGAATAAGAGATGACATCACCCAAACTATAGATGAATTGGCACATCGGTAGACCATGAGTGGATCAACGTGTGTAACAACATGTTCTGAGCAGACAGCAAAGCTTCGGCACCGCATACTGCTAAGTCCACAAAACAGTCTGCCTTAGGCTCTCGAAAAACCTGGACGGAACACCCGCTAACCCCAAACACCAAGCTCTAAGGCGCGGCATCTTAAAACTTGAGAAACCTTTCAGCGCAGGCTAGAAGCCGCAGCCTCCGATGCCCTGGACTGCAGCAGCGTGGGCCTCCGACCGCAGGGAAAAAATCACTGGGATCTTGCTTGCGAACGACTGGAAGGAATGGCCACCACATGCACAAGAGAGCGAGATAGAGAGAAAGCGAAAGACGCGGATAGGTGCACATTAATATGTAGATAGAGAGATAGATAGATGTTGGATAGTTGTTGCATTGCAAAAAGATTTGTGTACATACGTACCTAACATACAGTATACAAGCTGTACGTGAACCATCGAACTAGAAGAAACCTGCCGAATGCCGATAATTATGCAAAGGGACTACTAGCACAGATTCGCGGACATACGTTCTTCACATGCATACACACATACGTGCATACACACAGGTCCATACATCCATACGTCCGCACATATCTAGATTCATCCACATCCACGCGTATACAGACACAAATACATACATGCATACATACATACATACATACATTACATACATACATACATACATACATACATACATACATGCATACACACATACGTAAAACGAGATTTCTCGTATCGCAAGAAATGACGTGAATATGCGCAACAAAGGTCCGCGCCTGGCACATCTGCGCCTACCCCCCATTCTCTCTTGAGCCGAAGCCGCCCTCCCTTCGGCGCCTACCCCCTACTCCCGCACCCCCTGGCCCCCGCAATCCCCTCCTCCCCGACTACCCGCCGCAAACCGTCGAATCATCGACCGTTTGGACAACATCAGGAAATCTAGAGCTTTGCACACGCTGCTTGAAGAATAGTTCCCGAGACGCTGGCAAAGGAGGATCTGCACCTTGGAGCACCTGCAGGTAGAGATACTTTAAAATTTGTGGACTTTGTCCTGGGCATGCTGCACACAAATGACCACCCTCCGAAGGAGACAGAATCACGACCGGCAAAGCACAGCAGCTGGAATACGGTCGGCCTGATTCAGCTTCGTCAGCTGGTCGAGGAGATCCTCCACGGTGGGGACCTCTTTAAACTTGACCTGCGATGTTGCGATTCAAACTTCACTGACGATTGAAGCACAAAAGCCAATATAGTTGCGTGTCTACAGGTCACTGCAAGCCCGGATCCCTTTTATTGGGGACTACCTTCTTGACGGCCGTTGGCGAGGCCATGCCCACGCTTGCGGTGTCTGCCTCGCAGAATGGACTTCATAAAAGAATCAGGGCAATTCGCACTTCTTAAGTGTAAGGTTGAGGAGTAAGTGTGTTTCCCAGGTTTCGGGTAGACTTTATTATAGTTCCTAGATTTAGAGACTCTTACCTGGGAACATGTATCATGACATGCTTTACTCACCCCCCGCACTACTCCTCCCCCAGACTATGTCCAAAACAGACCCCTGTTGGCTGCTTAAGAAGGCCTTATTCTGGGTCCTTCAGAATCATGCAGATACAGGGCAGGAATAGTGCAGGAATAAGCATGAATAACAAATAGTCTTTACTACAGTACTATTTTTCTGTCATTCGGAAGTGGAGCCCCCTGGAACAGGGAAAGCACGCAACGACACGCGGAAGCGGGTTCGCGGGGAAAGTACCCGACACTCTAAGTCCTGAACATGTCTGCCCTACACTAAGACTAAGGGTCAGGGCGGGATTTGAGGCAAGAGCAATGCTCTGGAACTATGGCCCCTCAGAAAAAGTTAATGTCATGAGGTCGCAGTTTCATCGGGCATAATTACAACGTTTTCTCTTTGAAGTTGACAATGGCGGCAATCGTCGCACGTGAAGCCTCCGATGGCTTACAAGATTCGTATGCCACGTTGGAATTCACAGATAAGCCCAGATAGGGACAGATGAAGCCCGCACGGACAAGGCCCAGATACAGCACCCGAATGAGGCCCACCAGAAGGTCTTGTCCCAGATAAGCCCAGATAGGCCCAGATAGGCCCAGATAAGGCCCAGATAAGGCCCAGATAAGGCCCAGATAAGCCCAGAAGGCAAGGCCCAGATAAGGCCCGATGAAGGTCGGAACAGATCAGGCCCAAATAAGGCCCAGATACGTCCCGATGAAGGTCGGAACAAGCCGGGCAGTGTGAAATCCATACAGATTGCTGGGTGCGGTACAATCCGCTTCAGGAGTGCAGTATCATGTGGGCGACTGTCCAGCGTGGGGTGCTCGATCACTTCTGTCTTTTTTTTTGGGTTCACTTGTGTCTTTTTTTTGGGGGTCGCTTGTGTCTTTGTTTTCGGGGTCGCTTCTGTCTTTTTCCTTCTTCGGAAGCAACAGTCTCGAACGAGAGGTGCCTTGGTAGGACCTCACCCCGCTCAGTTTCAGGCTCGGTGTGCATAAAGTGCAACGGCAATTAGCTCGCTCCCTTTCTGCGTCCACATGCACATAGACATGCATGCGTACTCTACGAGGGGGTATCTAAACATGTGTAGAAATTTATTGTATATTACACATTGTACGCATATACGTATACCTATATGTAAACATATACGTACACACAAACACATGCAACTAACATATACAGTTTACTCCTTTTAGGGTTTCGTTCTGGGTTTGCTCCTCTTAGGGCTTGGGCCTTCTTCCATTAGGGTTTCGTTCTGGGTTTACTCTTTTTAGGGTTTCGTTCTGGGTTTACTCCTCTTATTCCTCTTAGAGGCTGGGCCTTTTCATTAGGATTTCGTTCTGGGTTTACTCCTCTTAGGGGTTGGGCCTTCTTTCATTAGGGTTTCGTTCTGGGTGTACTCTTTTTAGGGTGTCGTTCTGCGTTTACTCCTCTTAGGGGTTGGGCCGACTACTCCTCTTAGGGGTTGTGCTTTCTTTCATTAGGGTTTCGTTCTGGGTTTACCCTTGTAGGGTTTGGTTCTGGGTTTACCCCTCTTAGGGGTTGGGCCTTCTTTCATTAGGGTTTCGTTCTGGGTTTACTCCTTTTAGGGTCTCGTTCTTGGTTTACTCCTCTTAGGGGTTGGGCCTTCTTTCATTAGGGTTCCGTTCTGGGTTTACTTCTTTTAGGGTTTCGTTCTGGGTTTACTCCTCTTAGGGGTTTGGCCTTCTTTCATTAGGGTTTCGTCCTGGGTTTACTCCTTTTAGGGTTTCGTTGTGCGTTTCCTCCTCTTAGGGTTGGGCCTTCTTTCATTAGGGTTTCGTTCTGGGTTTACTCTTTTAGGGTTTCGTTCTGGGTTTACTGCTCTTAGGGGTTGGGCTTCGTTCTGGGTTTACTCCTTTTACGGTTTCGTTCTGGGTTTACTCCTCTTAGGGGTTGGGCCTTCTTTCATTAGGGTTTCGTTCTGGGCTTACTCCTTTTACGGTTTCGTTCTGGGTTTACTCCTCTTAGGGGTTGGGCCTTCTTTCATTAGGGTTTCGTTCTGGGTTTACTCTTTTTAGGGTTTCGTTCTGGGTTTACTCCTCTTAGGGGTTGGGCCGATTACTCCTCTTAGGGGTTGGGCCTTCTTTCATTAGGGTTTCGTTCTGGGTTTACCTCTCTTAAGGGTAGGGCGTTGTTTCATCAGGGTTTCGTTCGGGGTCAGGTCCTACCAAGGGACCTCTCGTTCGAGACTGTTGCTTCCGAAGCAAATAAAAGACACAAGTGACCCCCCAAAAAAAGACACAAGTGAACCCAAAAAAAAGACAGCATCCAGGAGAGCTGTCCGAAGAGGGCGCTTAGTCGTGGCCAGCGAGCCCCCGCACGCCCGCGCGTGGCGTTCAACAGACACAAGTGACCCCCCTTGCTCCAGCGTGCATGGGTTTGGTTCAGATGTTGCCTGCGTCTGGTCCCAATCTAATCTCTTTGCTGTGTTTTCGTCATTCAATTTCCCCGATTGTCCACCAACCATGGGCATCAGCCTTGAAATGCCCATGTGATGCAGGACAGCGGGATTCCCTGAAACAGAGGTGGAACACAGTCCCAGCAACATCGACACTTTGCGAGCCTCACAATCCAGTCCCCAATGCCCACCGATGCAGACTTACAGCGGTACTTGGACACACTCTTCTGGATATCCGCAAGAAGCCTCGTGTCCAAGTCCAAGTGTCCATCTACTAGGAGTATCGTGCTTGCGGCCCTGCATCTTGTTTCTTCAAACCACCTTCAGTTGAACCGCCCTCCAGCAGCTATTTAGCTATTTAAGGATTATTGTGCTTTCAGCTCCCACTCCTCAGATCTTAGCGGAGCAGGAAGATAAGCACTGCTAAGCTCTGTTCACCCTTTAAATAGTCACTGCACCGAGGATGCCCAAGGCTCCCACGGCTCGCATCTCGCACTCCGCGTCGCCGATGACAACTGGCAAAAATCGCATTGAGCTCTGAGCCCCAACGACCCACACTTGTTCAGATCCCCGAGCTGCCGACCCCGCCAACACAAGAAACCTCTGAGCTGTCGGCTCAGGCGCATGCCCCCGCAAGCCAGCGCTGTCGGCTGCCAGGACGTCAAGACCTGCCCGGGGCACACAAAAACGGTACTTTCTGCGGTTGGAGTTGGGGGTTTCCCAAGCTACCTTTGGGGTAGGGTTTGCCTACCAACATGTCCTGTATTCAAGGTTTGCCAGGCAAATTGTATTCGCTTGTTGTCTGGGCTATCCCACCGACGGGAGAACTGAAGCGGGTTTGCCATCCAACATGTCCTGCTGGGGCTTATGGCTCCGCAGCTGGCTAGCATCTTCTTCGTTTAGCATTTGGGGTTTGCCGCCGTCCCAGTCTATGTACGAAGAGTAGGACGGTCTTCTTGACACTGTCTCTGAAACTCGAGCCAGAGTTCAAGAGGAACTTGGTCATCACCAAGCGTCGGCATGCTGCAGCCAAGAACAACGAATGACGGTCAGAAACAACCTGCTCCAGGTCATAACATTCACTCATCAGGACAACTCTGTTAGCACCGGCCTGGCGAAAAGCCTCCCGCTTCCAAGCAAAATGATCACCAGGCCAGGTGCGCGCCTGAGTGAGGTTCTTGACTGATCCCCAACCACCCCGTAACATATTGAGAGAGAAGCACAAGACTGTGTGTGCATGTACATCATTGTATACTGTATACATATACGCACGAAAATATTATGTATACATATATATGTATATACATGTATATACATACATACATACATGCACACATATACGCATGTATATACACATGCATACAAGTCTATGTGTGTGTATATATATATTTATTTATTTACATACATACATACATACATACATACATGCACACACACACACATGTATGTATATATATATGTATACATATATGTACATGTATATGTATATGTCCATATATACACATATGTATATAGTGAGATGCACACGTATATGATGTGCATCCTCACGGCTCTTGGGGCTTCAGAGTTGAGACTGGATGGAGGGCCGAGGTCGAAGCAAATCGCTGCCGTGCTGACACGATGGACATGCGCGACCTGAGAGCGTCAAAGGATGCCACCGGAAGCGTCATGACACCCTTCACGGCAGTCACAGTGCAGCACTTGGTTGTGTTTTGTCTGCTTCTGAGACTCGGACAGTATTGGAAGCACGCGTGGCATGTAGCGCCGTGCGCTCTCGGTGACCCACTTCCTCACAGCAGCCGAAACCCCAAGCTGCAAGTGACACGATGTCTTAAGCACCAGCAATTTATCGCTGGGGCTGGTTCTCATCTGCGTTGGTCACGATGCAGGTCTCCCCAAGGCGCATGGCCGCCAGAAGCACCTGGCCAGATGCCCGATCAATCAGGCACGACCAGCGACCACGGCGCACCACCATCTCCATCAGCGGAGAGAACAAAACACAAGAAGTTTAAGCCAGTGAGGCCAATACGGCGGTAGTGGCAACAGACAGCACGCGACACTGAGCAACAGCACATGACAATGAACAAGAAACATCCTACCAACCATAGCCACCACAACAGCGGGAATCACTCCAAGAACAGTATGACAGCGCGACATGAACCCCGATGTACGACATGTCGTGAGCCTGCTCCACGACATTCTCCAGCTGGCTGTACTGATGTGGCCTGCAGTGACGGAGGGAGACAGAAGGGGGAAGTGTAGAGTCACTCCCCAATCTTTAGGTTTCATACCTTTTAGAATCCTAAATCCCGTTGTATACTCCCCAGGCATGCATGGAGCTGCCAAGGTCAGAGCTGGAACTTGTTGGCAGTGATTGCTGAGCTGCACATCAAAGTGTCATCCTCAGTCGAACCGGGTACTTCGCAATCCGAACAGAAGAAGGTGCCCGAGTGCCGGACCCAGTCAAAGATGAATAATTGGAAGGGCCTGCCAGGGAAACCTGGACAAGCTGATCCCGCTGTGATGACTTCATCTGCATTCTTGATGGGCTTTTGGCCTTTGGGTATTGCTATGCATGCCGATTCGAAATCAGCACGTCCCCTGTGCTCAACGCTCTGGGGCATCGGCTTCCTGCCAAAGGCTTGGGCGGCTGCTCAAGCGCCTCCGTCCGGTAGCTCAAGCCTGGCCAGCGCACTCCTACCGAAAGGACACCAGTGATCCACTTAGCCCTGAAGCCAACAGTGGCGCACTCGACGGCCGCCGTCTGTCCCGATCGGACTTGAAATCCAAGTGGGAAGACCTCGCCGAAGATATCAGGCTATAACAGCACGTGTGTGCTTGTCGTAACCGTCACATCGAAGACAGCAGAAACGTCATCTCGAAGGCCCTCGAGACTCACTTCAGCAAATCCCAGCACCCTCCAGGGCACCGGCTGCTGCTCAACCTTGAGTTGTCAGCTGTTCAGAATGGGGCTTCATGCGACGACCATACAGGTGGTGGACCGCTTACCGCCAGAGGCATTCGCCGCCGAAATGGCTGGATGCTCTCAGGGATTTGCCTGAGAAGCGAAAACGTCTTCTTTGCCGTTCACCGCCCGCCAGATCCCCCGAACATGAGTGTGAAGTTGGAAGGAGTGGGCCGAGGCGGGCCGCGCAGCGGCTTACGATTATTACTATTATTATGATACTAATTAAGTGCCGCGACTGACGGCCCACACAGGCCATCGTCCGGCTAAGCTCCAGGCCACCACTGGCTGAGATTAAAGCCTGCAATGCATTCCACGGACTCTCACAATGAACCGACGCAGCATGTCAGGCCAGGTGGCAGAGGCATTGGGGCTCAAAACAGCCACGCAAGTGCAGGTGCAATTACAGACTGCGGTGCAGACTTGGGAATGCTGAGAGGCTTCTGCATTTCACGTGGATCTGAAAGAACCGAGGCCTCCAGTCTCTGTTGGGAGTGGAAGCTTCCCGGGCTCTCTCGCGAGGCATTCGAGATCGGCTTCAATCTAATCGCTTCCCCGCCGCTGGGGCTGTGGCGTCGCCACGCGGCTGACCTCGGAATGCACCACCGACCAATACCACGATGCCAGAAGCATCACGCAGCCGTTTACACAAACGGAGAGCATGTGTGCACACACACACACACATACGTTCTTCACTTTTGAAGGACGGACTAAAACATGAGACGAAGAGCCGCTTCTCCAACTGTTCAAAGGCCAGTATGAATCCCGCAGCACTTACAGTAGCCTCGTAGTAACAGCTTCGCTTTCCTCCTCGAAGCCGAGCTCCTGGCTGCGGAAGATTTCCACCCAGCGGCCGGTGACCTCAACATCGGGGATGTTGAGTTGGGCTCTCAGGGTTTAGGGATTTAGGCTTGAGGGGTTTAGGATTTTCGGAAGTAAGGTTTCTGAGGGCTAAGAGGCTGCAAGCCCTAAACCCTGAACCCTTGACTGCGGCTATTCGCCAGGTTGGGCGTTCAGGGTCAAGGGGTGCACCGCGGGGATTGCTCCGAAGCCCTAGATCGTTGGGGCATGATCCAACATGATCCAACCCTCGGCCCTAAACCTTCTTGGAGGCGCATGGGGCTTAGTAGGTAAGGTTAAAAGTACCTCAGTTGCGGTGACAAGTTATAGGAAACTCTAAAGAGTATAGATGCCCTAAGAATAGCCCCAGTTACCAAGTCCCATGACCGTTTAAGCAGGGGCCCAGGGTCGGTTTAGGGTTACTGCACCTTACAACCCAACGGTAAATCTTCGAGATCCCACTGCTAAAGGAGAGAGGGAACCCGAGTCCAACCACCCTGATGCCCAAAACCCAACCCTGAGGGGTTTGTTAGAGTATGGGGCTTTGGGGCTTTAGGTTTCTAGGTTCCTGAGTGGAAAACGCAAAAACGACAAGGGCAAAAGGCTGTAAGCTTCAAAACTTGATTTGACATCGACCTTGCAAGCAAGAAGAGAGCTGTTTGAGGTCTCACGGAATATGTGGACCCCTAACATGGCGCCCAAGTAATCCTTTATTTTTCCCTAGTCTCGGCAAGCGCCTTCTACATATCTGCGCGTCGTCCGCGCGGTCTCAACCAACTTCGGGCACATTGAACAAAGTCCGTGTCCCCGTCCGAAATCGCTTCGTATGATTTTGCAATAAAGAAACGGGAGGATGAATGCAAGCAAGCTCGACACTTAATTGAATTACCCAAAGGTCCAGAACCCTAAACCCCGAGCCCTGACTAAACTCCGGGGACCTATGCACCACATTCCCCCTGAAACCCTGAACCCTTAATCCTAAAGTCCCACAACAGCAGCCTCGTCCACCAAGGTTTCCAAGTCAGCCGCCTCAAGCTGAAACGCTGGGGTACTGACTTGGTTTAGGGCTTTGTGGGTTTAGGGTCGTTGGGTTTAAGGGCTTGGGGTTTGGAGGCTGCTTGTGGGGGCCCGTTGTCGCGGGTTGCTGTTCTGTGGGGTGTGTCACCTTTGTCCGTATTAGTTAATACAGGGTTTGGGGGTGTTGTATTATGGTAAATCCTTCTGACTGCAATCATAGCACGGAACCTTAGGGAAAAGTATTTTAGTAGTTGTCTAGGCTTCGGGGACCAAAGCTTAAGCTCGGGTTCGAAAAGGAGCGGCGCACGCCCACCGGAGTCAACGTCGAGACACTTCAGAAGAATCTAACTAATCAAATTTATAAGCTTGCTTGATTAAGCCTCAACCCTAGACCCAAAGCGTTTAAGCTTTGCGGGGTTTGTGTGGTTCCACACTAAGGGGAATACCTCGAAGTTTTGAAGTTTGGGGTCTCTGCGAGCCCGAAACCCTAAACCCCAACCTCAAACTCCAGATCCCAAATCCTAATCCCAAAGCTGCCCTACATCCTTGACCCCATCCAGGGCCCAAGCTTAAGACTCAAGGCTCAGAGAAGTATAGAGCTCAAGGTCCGGTAACAATCTTGGAGACAGTCGTCGTCTGCATCCTAGCGGACGCTGTCGTCCTCTGCGTCCTAACGGACGCCGTCGTCCTCTGCGTCCTAACGGACGCTGTCGTCCTCTGCGTCCTAACGGACGCTGTCGTCCTCTGCGTCCTAACGGACGCTGTCGTCCTCTGCGTCCTAGCGGACGCTGTCGTCCTCGGCGTCCTAGCGCACGCTGTCGTCCTCTGTGTCCCAACGGACGCTGTCGTCGTCTGCGTCCTAACGGACGCTGTCGTCGCTGTCGTCGTCTGCCTCCTAACGGACGCTGTCGTCGTCTGCGTCCCAACGGATGCTGTCGTCGTCTGCGTCCTAACGGACGCTGTCGTCATCTGCGTCGTCTATTTCTACAATGGTTGTTAGCTTGTTCTTAAGCTTTTTCAGGATGGTTTGGGTGCCGGTATTTTACTAAAGTTTACTTGTTACTGTTAGCCGTGTTTAGCTTTGAATTATAATTAGCTGTTAATAAATCAGGATCCTATATTGTCTCCCCGCAAACACGACCATAACCCTGGATGGACCCTGTGTAGAACCCTCCATGCACCCTTACATGAACACCCCGCAACCCCCCCGCCCCAAACATTAAACCCTAAACATACATACACAACTCCTCTGTGAAACCCCAAACGAACCAGTGGGCCTGCTCAGGAATGTCGCCCTTCCACGACGTCTTGCGTGCATCCTGGAAGTGTTGGTTTTAACGGTTTCGGTTCTGGTTTCGAGTTAAGGGTCTTGGCTTTCAGGTTAGGGCTTCGGGGTTTAATCTAGGGGCCTTAATAATCAGAATAGGGTTGTGGGCTCTCTTGCCAGGTTCATCGTTTAACACGGAACCCTAACAAGTAATGTCGATAACTATTTGGATAAGAGATTCAGGGTTCAGGCTTCAAGCTCCTGTCCTGCCACGTGGAGCTAGGATTTCGCAACTCCAAGGCTTTTGGCTTCGGTGGCTTTTGCAGGTATCTAGTTTAGGGTCTCAGGGGGCAGAGTCAGGAGTTTAGGAGGGTTTAGAGCTGGGGGGTTTGGATATACGGTTTGCGATTCAGGGCCTTGAAACCTCATGTGTTGAGGATTTTGCTTTCATTTTCTGATGTTCAGGCTACCGTCTTGGGGGTGTTCATCATGGGGCTTTGAAAGTCAGGTTCTGAGTACCTTATAATTAACTTGTTGGTGCTGTACCTATTAGGTGTACTTGCCCTCAAAACAACGCTAGTTGCTGCGTCCCATGGGCCTTAAGTGCAAGTTGAAACAAGAGAACAAGAAAATCATCACTTGCCCACTATTTCAAGTTGGTCCCTGAGCCCTAAACCCGAAACACCAGAACCTGAAGGCCAGTATCGCAAACACAGCCCGAAGCCCTGAAACCTCATGTAGGGCCCTCAATTAAAATAGGGTAATTTACTCGCCTCTATGTACCGTAAAACCCAACAGCCGCCATTCTGAGGTAAGTGCGACATTGAGCTGGGGGCGGCTTTTGCCATTACCCTTGCCGTAGCCACCGTACCTAAAATTGCGGGTTCGCTGCCGGAAGGATCTCGCAGCTTAGAGTCACAGCTGAGGAACTAGTTTAAGGCTTAGGGTTTGGAGATTAGGATCTAGGTTTAAGGTTTGAGGTTTATAGAGTGTGGGATAATATAGGGCTTAGGGTTTCAGATTCGCAGTTTAACATCTAGGATTTCGACTCGCACACTCGCTCAAGGCAGGCACGGCTTCATGAGGTCTGCTTGCTACGGGTTTAGGGATTTAAGTCTTGCGATTTGAGAATTGAGTGCTTGGATTGAGCTTCGATTTGGAGTTCAGGATTTAAGGTTCCGGGTTTAGCATGTAATTAGGGCTCTGCTTTAAGGGTTTCGGGTGCATCGGGTGTAGGCGGTATAAGAAGACCTCGACGGGGGGGTCTGGTATAATGTGCAAGTCTCGGGAGCCTGCTAAGC